TATCTGGGTCAGCTGCAAAAATGGATAAACAGCAGGCTCTGGAAGGTTTACCTCGAGGATAACTGTCCTAAGGTTGAAGCGAAGGATCCAGGCTTGACTTGGTAAAGTAACATGAGACAGGTTCAGAGGGTTTAAATGGAACATCCAAGCAGGGGTGTTAGGTACGGCAATTGGTAAGGAACATTAGGCAGACTCTTTAAATAGGTAATATAGAAAGTTACACAAGTGGCCAATTGTACGCTCTTCCTGTAGTAGCTCCTTATGGAACTACATTCCTAAAAATATATTAATAAAGTCAAAAGACCAAAGAGGTCACCTTAACACCGAAAAAAAAAAAAAAACTACTGGGTTAGGCCAAAAGAGGAACCATTGATATTATATGACTGATTCTTTACCCAGTATGCAATATAAAAAAAAATTATTTTGCAATATCAGATTATTCTACAAATATATGTTATAATTATAATCCATGTTATTTTATTATAATAAAAATAGTATAAGATTATAATCATAATATGTACTAGCAGAATGATCTGGTATTGTAAAATAATTTTTTATATGTTGCACATTGGGTGAAGGATTAGTCATATAACATCAATGGTTCCTCTTGTTGGTTAGACCTAAACTTTTTAAGTATTAGATCTGGATCAACAGGACAGACTTTTCAATATTCCTATTTTTTAAACCTGGTTTTTTTTCAAAATACATTATAGTGAGATGCACATTATTTCAGGACACATATGGGCATTATTTTGAATCCATATATGCTATTTTTAGAGGTGCAATTTTCGAAATAACATTTATGCCCATTATTTTAAGAATTTATAATAAGTATTGCTTTAAAAAAATAAGATATATAGACTATTTATTTTAAAATAAATACTTATCTGAAATTAGATATCAAATTGTAATTCTGAAACCTTTTATAAATTTAATCTTATTTAGAGTTTTGAATATCTAATTTAGTGACTAAATATTTAAAAGTAGAGTCATAAAATCAAAAAATTATTTTTTGAATAATTATAGATTAATAAATTACTTTAGCAATAATAGATTAAAAAAGATTTTATTTGCTTAACATAGCTCTTTAATGTATACAAAGTAATTTAATGCTTCAAATTATATTTGGAATATAAATATATATATAAAAATGCCTATTATATTCTGAAAACAAATTTATGTACTTTTATTAAACTTAAATTTTAAACCCTTTCTTAGAGTTAATTTCATCCTAATTTATAAAATACTAGTTTTCTCAAATCTTGTAAGAATAAAAAATAACAATAATAAAAAAATAAAAAAAAAATTATAGTGTAGTACTAGATGCTTATTAGTTTTGAAAATAAATCAGTTTGCATAAATAATTAGCATCAAATTACTAATTTCTAAATAAGTCAAGGTTACAATTTTTTTTAAAAAAAAGACAAAAAAAAACTAATCAATGTTTCAATTTTAAAAAATATAATTTCATAAAGTTACTTATTACTAAAAAGCTAAAAAGTCACAAAAAATGGTGCATTTAAATCAGCTAAAAACAAACTATCTAATAGCTACTTAGTCTTTTGATCTATTGGACATTCTTGATTATTTGATAATTTATTTATTTTATTTAATTCTGAACTCGACAAATTATTTTCATCTGAATTATTATTGTCTAAAATTGATGATCATATTGTAATATTATCATTTTCATCATCAATATCAGTTTTGGTATAGTCACTTTTATTATTATCATAGTTTAGCAAAGATGCTATTGAAGTTGATTTATAAAGTTTTTTGAGTTTGTCTAATTCTTGAACTTTATGATCTTGAGCAAGAATTCTATATAATTGGCTAATAGCTAATACTTTTTGAAACTATAATGCAATTAATTATAATACTTTTAAAATTATAATGTAATTAATATTAATAAAAGTATATCATTTACCAACAATTTGTTATATTGTTTAGAATGAATAAATCTTATTGAAGACCAAAAACATTCTACAAAGACTAAATTTATGCAAATTCTATGAATTCATAATGTACATAACCTAATTCATTAGCATATATTGCACAATAACTTCAATATCCAATTACATCATTACCAAATTGTCTTGATGATGTGGTATTAAATAGTGATTTTTTTTGATGATAAAGCTCAAGTTTCTGTAAAATTGATTTTGGTAGTCGACCAGACCATTTAGAATAATAGTATTGAATATGTTCACCTATATCAACCTATGTTAAATTTTCTAATTCTAAATTGAATTTTTTTATTTTTTTTATTTTTTTATTTTTTTTAAACTTAAGCAGTCATGCTAGTACTTTATTAAGATCCTTGAAATTACTTTTGCAATTACATAGATTTACCTAACAACTAAGTCTAGCATCACCCGGCCACCCAAGGGGTACCT